CACACCTGGGGCTTTCAGTGCAAACTCCCTGGAGATCCCCCAACATCTGTCTGAAATGCATCTTGCAGATCTCCGGCTTGAAAGCACTCTCTGTGGATCAGCTTCAGGTGTTTCTGGCTTCTCAATCCTCAGGCCCTGGAGTCAAAGAAAGAACAGGGTGGGGAATCAATGCTGGGCGAGGAGACAGGTAGAACTGATCCTTTATCTTATTCCACGTGCCAGCAAATGCTGCGCGAGGTTCCAAGTCTTCTCTGAGCCCAGGTTGAAGCCCAGAAAAGTGGGCCACCACTTGTTGCTCTAGGCATCTTTCCAAACGAAAATGAAAATCATTCTTAACTTTGGACTGAGATTTTTTTTTTCAGTATTTAATGAGCATTTCTATAGGGACAAAACATTGCTCAACTGATAAATATTTCTACAGAGGTACTTGCCTGGTTTTGAATTACACCTTAATGCAGATGCAGAATAGCAGCCATAGCTATCTGCAGTGAAGGCTGAAGAGCGAAGCCCTGGCTTTACTTAATTTTTTTGTTCATCTTTGGGAAATAAAGTAACATTAATGTTAATGGTGACTTTTGATGACCTAAGGCATTTATTAAAACTATATGGGACTGGGGTAGTGGCTTAGTGGTAGAGTGCTCGCCTAGCATGCATGAAACACTGGGTTCAATCCTCAGCATTATGTAAAAATAAATAAAATAAAGGTATTATGTCCATCTAGAACTAAAAAAAGATTAAAAAATGTATTATTATATATTATCAACCTTAAAGTTGATAATGAGAGAGATGTTTTTAGCACGTGTGTTTGGAGAAGGTTATAGTAATTTCTGAGAGCAGATTTTTTTTTGGAGGGAAATCTTTGAAAGGATAGATAAATAGAGTAAATAGGGGTGGGGGAAATGGATGGATTAGAACTCACTTCTCCCACCATGCAGAATTCAGTTCTCTGAAGAATACAATACTCTAAGAGAAGATCACACTTCTGACACAGTATTATATTGAGGGTCTCAAATTCATTTGTCTTCCCACAGTTCTTGGAATTATAACTCCCACAAAATGAATACATAATAAAGTGGGCTGATCATTTGCTAACATATTTTTGGCAATAGAGCTGTCAATATTATGCTCCTCTTTGAAAATATTGCCTTCCGGAGAAGTAAACATTTTGTGCAGGGTCTTGCATGTAGTCAGTGGCTAAGCAGTCTGGTGGTGTAGAAATTTCAAGTGAGATGCACAACATAAAAAGCAGACAAGCTAACTGAGTCTTTCTTATTCATTCAACAAACATTTCTCTAGCTCAGGTTTCAGGCTAGGTACTGACAAGGGACACCATGAAAAGAAGAGCCTGTCCCCTGCTGGGTCTTGGTTTAGTAGGAGAAACAGACAAGTAAACACAGAGCAGAGAAGAGTCACAAACAGCACTTTTCACCCCTGTGTGATCTGGGAGACACCCCGGAGGAAGTGACATCTGCAGGGTTGGGTAAGGAGGTAGAGACGGACATTCCAGAAAAGAGAAGCATCCAAGCAAGCAGGGGGACCAGAGTGATTAGGAAACCAGAAGTAAGTGAGTATGGCTATCTACAGGAGTGTGTGTGTGTGTGTGTGTGTGTGTGTGTGTGTGTTGGAAGATGTCCAAGAAGTGAAGTAGGCATGGGGAGGTATTTAGCCAACAAGCTCAAGAGAGATCTTCTCATGTGAGAGGTACCCCAAGAATCAGTTCTCCATCACCATTATCTTTGTTTTGGGGGCTACAGTTTGACATGGATTCCTTAATCCTGAGCAGGTAGTACATTCACAATATTCAAAAATCAAAAACAATGAATGTATGCAGTTAGGAAAAAAAAAAAAAAGCCTTTCCCTTCCTCAGCTTTGAATCTGCCCCCATCCCATCCTCTTCCTATCATATTTCCCCAAACACTTTAATTCCTTGGTCATGTTTCTTAGAATTTCTTTGTGCAAAGACAGGAAAATATGAGTATATTTTCATCTTTCTTACACTAAAGACAGTGTGTGCTACATATTAATCTTTGCTTTTTCTTAATTATATAATATTGGATATCTTCCTATATGGATACATAGAAATCTTTAACACAACCTCATAGTAACACATTATATTTAACTAGACCCCTATTAATGAACTTTCAAGTTGTTTCCTGTCTCTGGGCATGACAAACAAATTCATATTGTAGTGAATAACCTTGTACCTACCTTGGGTATGTGAGCGGGTTTGTTTGTATTATAAATTCTCTGAAGTGGATTTGTAGATGCGTGCATAGATTTGACAGAGATTGTTGCCAGAGGCTTACATTTCTTTGGCTTTACATAATTAGGCATATCACATAAATCTATAGAGCTTTTTACCTGTGGACTGGTGTCAAGGTCAGTCAGAATGAGTCCTGGGTGGGAAACCTTTAGCATGGATGTGATTTAAAAAGTACTGATGTTCCACTACTCACTGTAGAGCAATTTTAGTGGGAGTCAGTAGGGGAACAGAAAGAGTAATAAATAATGAAGTCCTCATAAGTTGAAATTTTAAGTTGAAAAAATTTTAACATGGCTAATGTATTGAATATTACATGAATAGGTCAGCCTGGCCTACCTTACACTGCTCAGAACAACTGAGATTAGCTACTGTTGGGCAAAATCAACTAACACAAAGCCTATTTTGTAATCAAGTGTTGAATATCTCATGTATGCACACGATGGGCGTTTTGTATACATGATGAGATCCAAACACACAAAACACAATATCAAAACCGCTGGCAACACAACACATGGTACAGTACAGTCTGCTCCCCACTCCCCTCCTTGCTATGGAGTGGCTGACTGGGAGTCCCCTTGCCTCTGTGGCTCAGCATCACAGGAGTATCACACCACAAATTATAGCCTAGGAAAAGATCACAACTCAAAGCATGTTTTCTAGAACATGTTTTCTAGAAAGCATGTTGTCTACTGAATACACTGTAAACTGGAAACATTGTAAGTCAAACCATCATAAATCCAGCAACATCTGTAACAAATTCTGAAACTTTCCTAAGTCTTGTAGTCCCCAGTGGCCAACTGGATGATAGCCCAAGCTGCCCCTTTCCAGCACAGACAGCCCCTGACCTCCCATCCCATGCCTCTTGTCTCCTAATTCTGTTCATCAAAAGGTCCTTGGGACTAACTATATATTTAACACAGTGCTGGAAGTAGAGAAAGATGCTTGTTCTCAAAGAACTTCTGATCCCACTGGAGATACTGGCCTCAAAACAAACACAACAATGCATTAGTTCCATGGCCCAAAGTAAAATCAGGGTCATCCAGGACAAAGAAAACTCACATTTCTTAATGTTATTGCTACAAAACCCAGTTATTATAAAACTGGAAAAAAGATCAGATATAAGAGAAAAAATAGTTGAGTATGGTTCCTCCTGGCACTGCAGGGCAGAGGGGTGGGAGGAAAGGGAAGACCAGATGGGGCCCTTGATCTGCTGAAGCACTGAAATAAAAGTAGCTGTCACCGTCCCCTTCAAATAACCTGGCTTTGTCCAACACAACTATCAGTTCACAGATAGTTATTTTTCCCCAAGAGAAGAAATAGGCAAACTGACTTGAAAAGATTAGGACTATTTTCTTCAGTTAAAAATGAGGACAGGGTGTGCTACCAGGTCTAAGCAGAAACTCCCACTCTATCAGCTACTTTAGTTCTTGTTGGTTATGTGCTTTTTAATTAGTCAGTAGTTAGGTTATGAAATGTTTATCTGCTAATGGCAAAGATTTTCCTTGCATTTATTGCACTGTAGCAACTAGTTTGTTTGTTTTAACCTCTCTTAATTTCTCTATCGAGCAAGCAGCATTTCAACAGGTAAATAAAATGCTTTATGAAATACCTGCTCAAATGAGCACACTGGTTGTCATTTTTCATTGTTTTCCAGTAATGTCCATTCATATGTATTTTTACCTAATTACAATCATACTATTGATCCAGTTTTGTGGTCTGATTTCTTTTTCCCTTTAGATTACATTATAAGCATTTGCCATGTTTCTCTGACTTCCAGATTATAACGGCCACCTAATGTCCCACAGGTCTGATGCTCCACTATCTGTGGTAGTCATTTCCCTATTCTGGGCCAGTGAACCCTACTATGTGCCTCATCTGGTGAGATAGCAATGCCAGAGACAGAAAATGTCTTTGAGAAATGCCCTTTTGAAAATAAAATAAACAGGTAGCCCCAGCTACATTATGTATCTACTGGACAAAAAGATGGCCCCAGATTTTAACAGGCCAGGTACAATTGTTGGTAGATAATTCTGCCTATGGCAGGTTGGAAATACACTAAAAGTTTATAAGTAAGATACCTGGCATTCATTTTCATGATTAATAGCAAAAAAATTAAAACTACTCTCACACACTGCCAACTCTACCTTCCTCCTTTCTTTCTCCTTGTGCCAGAACATCACAAAGGGGAACAATATTACTACTGACCAGCGTCGCTTAATCTTGACTTCCAAATATCAGTGGCAGATGCAAAATGTGCTGTTGTCTGAACAGAGAGGAGGAAGCTCTGTGGCTAATGCTAGCAGGTGAGGGAGTGGGTACTATGCTGAGTGTTAGGGTGACCTTTCCCTCTCCTTTGGCACACAGAGGCATTTCACACCTTGCAGAAAGGGAGGAAAGGGTTAGGGTGGAGTGCTGGAAGGTGAAAACGGAGAAGTTTTTATACCGGAATCTGGTTCCTTTAAGGGCACAAGGTACAGAATAGGAGGGCAAGCAAGGGGAGAGGACCCACTGGACAGCGCACAGGTGGCCGGGCTGGGCGTGCGACTCAGGCAGAGGGTACCCTGCTTGGACCCCGGGCCAGGGGAGGCGGGGATCGGAGGTGGTAGCGCGCCGGAGGCTGGGCTGGGTGTCTATAGGGGCGCTCAGGGAGGCAGGACCGGAGTGGGGACGCTCGGGGAGGCGGGGCCCGGGGGTTTGTCAGCGGGGAGCGGGGGGCGGGCCAGCGGGGGCGGGGGCGGGGCCCGGGCCAGGGCGCGTCCGCAGCTGCCGGAGTCCCGGGATCTCCCTGCGTGTCCCTCCCGGTCCCAGTGCGATTCCCGCGCTCTCGCCCCACCATGCTCCTGCTTTTAGGGCTGTGCTTGGGGCTTTCTCTCTGCGCAGGGTCGCAGGAAGAGGCACGGAGCTGGGATGACACTTCGGAGCAAGTAAGCGGGAGAGCTGGAGGGAGGGGTGGGCGGGGGCCGGCGGGGCTGCGGTCCCCTCCCTCAGCCTGCCTGGGCCGCGTGGCTTCTGGACGGGAGTCTTTGGGCAGTTCGGACGCGGGGCAGGGAGGCATCACCTCCCTCTCCTTTCTCGACTTTCTGCACCAAAGCTTCCCCACCTGTCGGTCACTGGTGGGTCGCTTCTCCATCATCCGCAGTGCCAACCTGACCCTGAGGCTCCCGCGGAACTGTGCCTGAGACTCCAAGTCCTGCGGGACCAAGTTAACTTCTTGGCCTCGGGTTATCTGGACGTGTTTTGGCCAGTCTTTGTTAATTTCTGAGGCGACTAAGAGTTTGTTGCTATTGTTGTTGATCCAAGGAGAAGGGACAACCTGGGAAAGTTCCAGACTCAGGAAGCTCAGCTTTTCCCACGTGGAAACGGGGAGAACACGACTTTCCCATTAGGGTCTCAGCAATGGGTTAGCAGTTTAAAAATCCCCCGGAACTAAAGCGTCTTAGCCCCTTTAACTGATACTCAGTATGTTCGCTAGAGCTTGTGTTTTAACTGGCTTAGCCTCCCAGGTGAATAAAACCAATAAATAATGAAATCCCAATCTGGTGTCCTATGACTAGGAAAGCCCTTTGGACAGTAGTATATAGCGGCTTCACACAAGTGGCACTGTGGAGACCTGTGAGAGGAATGGCTGTCACAGTTAAAGTGGACAAGCTGCTTGCATACACAACACTTTAGTGACAAACTGTTCAGTTTAAAGCCTGTTTTGTAGGTTGGGAGGAAGATATAAGCAGGGTACCTCTTTTCGCTTTTTTCCTGCCCCTCCTTTTGAAGAGCAGATCTGGAAGACAAATCTGCCCGGTCCTTGGTTAATTTCATGCAGACTATTTCTTATGAATGGGCTTATCGATCAAGTGGAGGTGGCGGTAGTTCTTTCTGGGGGTCATCAGATGGAATATATACAAATCCCAATAGGCTTTTGTGTTGGTGTAGAACAAGTGCAGACTTTGGATCCAGAGACAGGCTGGTCCCTTCTCTTCCATTTACAGTGCAGTTCCTTTGGGCATACAGCCAAGGACTTAGATACCATGTGGTAGGGACCTGATATATACAGTGGACACTCGGTACATGGAAGGTGTTTTAGTAAGCAGTAAAGGGCATGATCGGTGGCTGTCTAGGTTTGAGTCCTGATTCTGTCACTTACCATCTCTGTTACCTTGGGCAGCTTACACTCAGTGCCTCAATTTCCTCTTACGTAAAATATAGGAAAATATTAGTTGTGTGTTTAAAACAGGGTTGGCACTGCATGTTAGCAATTGCTCTTGTGCAGCAGGAGAGCAGAAACAAGGAATTTAGAGTAAAGATCTTGTAACTTTTTTGTGGGATGGAGGAAAGGCAGTGTGGGAAGGACAGAAGTGAAGATTGTGTTTATGAATTAGGAGGACCTCTTACAGCTCTAACGTCCAGGAAGGCTTAACACTCTCTAAACTTTCCTTCTTAGAAAAACATGGATTCGGCCCATTTAATGGTTTCATGTGATCTTTAATATGTGGTAATAATTTGTGTTGAAAATGACTAAATAAAAAAATACAAATAAAATCAAAGTATGAAGTTCTATGAAAATTTGCAATTGTACCTTTGAGTAAAGCTCAAAAATAGAATAAGCGCTATTTTTAAAATTTAGTTATTTCTTTTTTTCTTTTTTCTTTTTTTTTTTTGGTGAAGAAGAATTTAAGAGACAGGTTCTAGTACAGACTTCCTGGGTTCACATCCTGGCTGGGCACTTGCTAGGGGATTATTTAACATTTCTGAACCTTTATGTCTCAACAAGAATGACAAAACTACTTAATTACATGGATTTTGAAGAGTGAAAGAATTAATGTACTTAGACCTTAGAACAGAACCTGGAAATGTTGTCAGTACTCTATTCTCAAATATTATGCTCTTCAAAATTACATGTAAACTTAATTTAAAAATTGTATCCAGGTATGTGAATTTTATGCAAATCTTAATGTAATTATATAGACCCATTAACTTGCAATGCAATTCTTATTTGTCATTTACCTTTAATTAGAAATAGACTAATAACACCTCATTCAAATTCCTGTCTCCACCCCAACACTACTACTTTAAAAGACTCTTTCAGAAAATTAATCTTAAAGAGGAAGTCTCTTGTATAAAATCAGTCTGCTGATTTATATGTTTTGTAAGTTTTAAATTTAAATAAAGATTGGCTCTATTCCTATGATTAGAAAAGCAGTTTTAGCTTCACAAAATAGTAATAGACACCAGTTATTGAATGTCTTCAGTCTCTCAGAGAGTTTGTTAAGAACTTTTGTGTTAAAGAACTCAGAAGCCAAGTGTGGCAGCACATGTCTGTAATCCCAGGAGCTTGGGAGGCTAAGGCCGGAAAATTGCAAGTTCAAAGCCAGTTTCAGCAATTTAGCAAGCTCCTAAGAATTTAATGAAACTCTGTCTCAAAATTTAAAAAATTAAAAAAAAGACTGGGGATGAGGCTCCACGTTTAAGTGCCCCTGAGTTGAATCCCCAGTACTGTCCTCCCCATCAAAAGCAATAAAGTTATGATTAATCACCTTTCAAATATAGTCATACTGCCGGGTTCAAATCTGGGCCCCACTATTTCTTGGCTGTGTATACTTGGGCGAGTAACAAACTCTCTGGATCTCAGTTTCATCATCTGCAAAAAAGAGTTGATAATAGTTCTTGCCTCATTGGCAGGAGTGGATTTAGGTTTGAGGATGAAAATAAAGTTATCATAATTTGCAGAGCCCTTTTTAAAGGGAAAGAATATCAAATTATGACTACAAAATTAGGTGCTAAAGGGACCTCTTATTTAGAGTGATAAATTGCAACAGATGACAACTGAAAAAACATCACAAATATCACTCAGTTTTAGGGGTCTCTTACAAGGGAGGGAGCTCCAAACTTATAGTCTAAACATAATAAAATTTATTTAACAAATTGTGGTTTCTTGGCATGTAGGAGACCCTCAGTTTGATAATAAATTTGACAATAAATTGTATGCTCTCATGGTTATTGTGAGGATAGAGTTAATTCAGGCAAAGCATTTGCCTATAGTAGACACTAAGGTAATAGTAGCAGTTTTTAGCATTTATGTCCAGCCTTATTAAATCTTCACAAGTTCCATGACAAGGTCCTCAGTGAGCTGCTTTACAAAGGACAACCAGGGAAGGCCACCAGAAGAAGCAATGCACCCAGGCTAACTGGGCGGAGCCCATACCAGAACCCAGATGTGCAGAGGTCAAGGTTGGGGCTGGCCTTGACTCCTCCAAGCAGCACCCCTCTTTCATGTGGACAGTTTAGTTTGTTTAAATGTAATATTCATTTGTAACTCCTGGCACATCAATAGTGTTCAATAAATGCTGATCATAATTCTAGCATCTATTGTAATACATTTCCAATTCCCTGAATTTGGAAATTTCTTACAAATTTCTATTTAGAGTCACATCTTTGTATTTGGGGAAAAAACAGAGAAGACAAATACATATGTGTGTGTAAATATATGAAACTTTCTAAAGCCAGTCCCAGATTGTGCAAACTGCAGGCCCCTCAATAATGCCTCCCTTGTGTGCATGAATGTGATTGCTGAAATGGAATTGTAGAACTGAATGGGGAAGGAGGATGCTGTGGGAGAAATTCCAGAGATGTGCTCATTCCCAAGCCAGCCATATCTCATTTCGTGGGGGTGGAAAGGAGGGGTGGGAGTCCTGAGCACTGTGTGATGAGTTGTATGTGACTCTGTGTTTCTAACTAGCACTTTCTCAAAGCCTTGGATGCTCAGGTTTGAGGAATCTTGCTCAATGTGCTGTTGGAGTTGCAGTCTGGAATGTGAGCAATGTTTCTGTGTCCCTGGAGCTGCAAGGTTGATTCAGGAAGATGGAGCCGCGGGATGAAGGCCTGAGCTTATGTTTGTGTGTGGGAATGGTAGGGTCAGGGACAAGTGGGTGTCCTAAACCACTCATTATTTTCCTATATTTCCATTATTTTTCACAAAGAAACAAAATAGGTTGACTTGCCTTAAGGCCAGCTGATTTTTTACCCCAAATCTTCCAGGAAATTGTTTGCAATTTTAGCCCAAATTTGAAGTTTCTTCTTTCATTTCTGAAGTTATAGAAACCCCGAATTGCAAGTGGTTAGTAGCTGAACAACTTGCAGCAGCTTTACCCCAAAGGAAGAACAGTTTTGTGCAGGTGACATAGAATTACCCAAAGGGAAATACTCCCACACTGGCTCTTCTTCAACTGGTGACAAACAACATCTTAAGTGACCTTCCATGTCTGACCTTGGTTTTGGTTCAAGTTCTACAGCAGACCTCTAAGGTAACTTGTCTCATTAGTTACCTGTATTAAACCTGCTTCCCTTTCATCCCATTCCATACAGACAAAGCTAGATCTAGTCGTACCTCTATCATATAGCCCTCCATAGTCACTCAAGAACAAAATGAACTTGACCTTTTCCCATTCCTTTTTTGGTTTTTGTTTTTCCTTTGTGAGACTGGGGATTGAACCCAGAGCCTCACACGTGCAAGGAAAGTGCTCTACCATTGAGCTCCATCCCCAGCCCTTTTCCATTCCTAAATATATATATATATATATTTTAGTTAGATAGTAAGTCCTTGATGGTAGAGATCATGGCTTATATTTCTTAATAAATACTGTGATCTGGACATCTGATGCTGGGGAAGTAAGCTCTAAGTCTTGCTAGAACCAAAGAATCCTACTTGAATCATCTCTTTAGGTTGCAAGCAAGTTGGTGGGAGCTCTGAGGTTACTATTTATGGTAACTCTTTCCATGAAGCTGAAAATCAGTAACTTCCTTGTTCCCAGTTCCTACCCCCAGATTCTTATATAAGACAACGGAAAATTACTCAAACAATAAAAAGGATCAGGAATTCCTAACTCAAAACAATGATGATGACATTGGTGCCATTTGTACTTCCAGTCCCAGCTGGCACCGGGAATCTGTCTGTACTGGGATGTTTTGGTTCTGGGTCAACCTGAGTTTAAACTTGGACTGAAGTGTAGCCATCAGGATCCCCTGAGACATCAGATAGTTATCTCAAAAATGGAAAACCCACTTGTCTTGTTCTCCTTAAAGCTTGCTTATTTCCTTGTAAAATCTATTTTTAAAAGGAGGAGACTTCAAAGAAAATACTTTAGATCAATCAGAGAACTTAATACCTAGAGGGGTTGGGCTTTCCTTCTGACCATAGTTATTTTTAAGTGGTCCCCAGTCTATTCTGCAATGTTAGGGAGGGGAAGGCCTCAGATGAACCTGCAAAACTGGTAAATAACTTGCCCATGATCCTTCCAGTGGTTTCTGATACATCTTACCTCCTTTTAGAAATCAGAGACCACCATCCACCTAGGAATTGTTTGGTTCCCATTTGGATTCAGGGTGGCTGTCAACCTAAATCCTGTAGTTTCCTTTCTGTTCTTGAATTTTGAGTATGAAGCTATCTAGTGGTTTCTAGTTTTAACTTATAACACACACACATACTTGGGATAAGGAAGAGGATGGGGTTAAACAATTTCTGTAATACAATCAGTTTTCAAAAGGAAATATCTTTATTGTTTTTTCTATATGGAAGGGATACCTGATAGTTTGTCAAAACTGAAGAAAATACAGAAAAGTATTAAGAGAAAGAATTCAACCATCCCAAAGTAACCATCTTTAGCATTTTGGTGCGGGTTCCACACATAAAAACACTTATCCTTGCAAAAATGAATCATATTAAATGTAGTGTTTGTTGCCTGATATAATATTTTAAATTGTGTCGTGAATGTATCTGTCAGGATAAGCTGAGTTATGCTAGATAACAAGCCCCTCATTTATTTCTTGCTTATGCGACTTGTCTGTTCCTGGTTGGCAGTGGAGCGCATGTGTACACTGTTGTCCCTTGTGAACATGGGCCTGATGAAGCTACCGATCTAAAAACTGCTAATTACTATACTGGAGGATCCAGTGTCTATAATTTAATTCTTGGTCCAGAAGTGACAAACACTACTTGCCTTCACAACTTATTGGCCACAGCTAGTCATGTGGATCCACTTACCTTCCAAGGTAGTAATCTTTCAGGAGGAGAGCTAGAAAAATATTTGATGAATAGCATTAAAGTTTAGTAACAAGAGGATTTGTTGATATCAGTAAATATAGATCCACATCATTATTCTCAACAGCTCTGTTGTAATTAATGTATCATGATATATTTAATTGAACCACGTTTTAAGGATATTTTGGACAATTTCCAATTATGAACAATTGCTTTAAAAGTTGCAAAGAATTTTCTTGTGTATCTATTTTTTTCCAATGATTTCTCCTCCTATGATATTTTTCTTTTTAAAAATTTATTTATTTTTTATTTTAATTTGTAGTATATGACAGCAGAATGAATTACAATTCATATTACACATATTGAGCACAATTTTTTATATACAAAGTATATTCACACCATTCGTGTCTTCATACATGTACTTAGGGTAATGATGTCCATCTCATTCCACCATCTTTTTTACCCCCATGCCCCCTCCCATCCCCTCCCACCCCTCTGCCCTATCTAAAGTTTGTCTAACCCTCCTATGCTCCCCCTCCCAACCCCACTATGAATCAGCCTTCTTATTTCAGAGAAAACATTCAACCTTTGGTTTTTTGGGATTGGCTAACTTCATTTAACATTATATTCTCCAATTCCATTCATTTACCTGCAAATGTCATGATTGTATTCTCTTTTATTGCTGAGTAATATTCCATTGTGTATATTATGCTTTTCTATAAGTAGAATTTTCAAATTAAAAGACATGCATTCAGGTGAGAATATAAAATGCTATAGTCATTTTGGAAAAACGTTTTGGCAGATTCTTAAAAGTTAAATTTGCCAGTAATTTGAGTAATAGGAAAATAAAAGTATGTCTCCCATACAAAGGATTGACTGTGAATCTTCATTCAAGTTCAGAATCATTCAAAATAGCTACAAAGTAGAAACAACCCAAATGTCCATTATCTGGCGAGCAAATGAAATGTAGTACATCCATACAATGGAATATCATTCGGATATAAAAAAGAATTGAGTACTGGTTGCTGCAGTATGGACAAACCTTGGAAAAAATCATGCTATGTGAAAAATGTCAGACACAAAAGTCTACATATAGTAAGTTTCCATTTATATGAAATGACCGAAATGGGCAAAACCATAGGGACAAAGTAAATTTAGTGGTTTCAAAGGGGTAGGAGAAAAGAAGAGATTCAGAGATGATGGCTAAAGGAAATAGGGTTTCTTTCTTGAACAGTAAAATGTTCAAGTTGATTATGGCCGTATTTGCACAACTCTGTATATGGTAAAAAAATGTTTTTACTTGTGCACAGAAAGGAATGAATTTCATTTTATGTAAATTACACTTCATGCCATTGTTTAAAGAATATGCAGGCAATCCCTGGCATATTTTTCAAGATTTTGATCTACATTGTCAAATTGCCCTCCAGAAAGAATATTTTATTACTCTTAGCAATAACCATTTACACTGCTACTATTGAGACAGAAATTTGTCATAAGTAACGTTTGGCACCTAGCTACAACTTTCAAATCAGTCTGGAGGGGCCCATTGATTATGACTGTGGTTTTTAAAGAAGGTGATTTTATCACTTTTCTGTGTTCCTCTGCTGCACATGGGAAAACATGACAAATCATCCAGAAAAAACACAATAAGAAAATTCATGGTAAAGAAAAAAAATCAGGGTAAGTTCAGTTTTGCTTTCAGAGTTCCTGGGAGGTTTTTTTTTTTGTTTTTGTGGTGCTGGAGATTGAATCCAGGGCCTTGTTCAGGTGAGGGAAGTACTCTACCAACTGAGCCACATCCCTAACACTCTAAGAGTTTTGAGTTGCATAATGAGCCCATCAGAATAAGGCTGAGTACCTTCACTGATCATAATAGGTACAACAGCAAGGAGCTCAATGTCAAGCCCAAAGTAAAATGAAACAGAGTAAAGATATTCTAATATCATCTCTCCTCTTACCGGAAAGACCATTCAGGTGACCAGGCAGGTTAAGAGCTGACCAGATCTGTTGGCTCCAGTTCTGGCCTGGAAACAAACTCCGATATAAAGTTAAAACTACCTTTTGAGATAGGTAGTCCTTTTGGTGAATTTGAGTGAATCTGAATTTTAACCCTCATATTTAAGGACACCTCATGATCTTGCTCTTCCATTTCTCCTCTTCCACGTAGGTTGGACTCAGGGTCCCCAGGCAACTCAGGCTGCTGCAGAGGCTGGTACGTATACCCTGGTGCATCTCAAAAGTCACTTCCCTTACTCCGCTGGTTCTTTTGAATCAGGCACACGCTTTGCATGCAGGCCCTCCGTAGCTTCTGGGGTTGCTCTCAGAAGAATTCTAACATGAGTCCGCGTAGCTGATTCCTTTATAAGTTTTCTAATTTAAGTGGATTTTCCTTGCTTGAAAGAGACTTGATTATTTCAGTAGGACTCTAAGAACAAAGCCTGAAGTTTCAAAGGGCTGTCTTTTAAAAAGAATCTAAACATAACATTTATTTTTTTTATGGCATCCTTGCCCAGGAAAAAAAACACTTTGTTGTGAAGTCAACCGGTCAGGCATCCAAAGAATTCACTTTCACAGATGAAGGCAGCTGGTGAAAGCTGGGCAGGTTCTCACTGCCTAATGGAGGCTAGTAGGTTAGAACTTGAACAAACGTTCAGAAACTCTAAGAGCTTGTTTGAAGCAATCTCAGTTCTTCCTTATGAATGCGTATGTGGTGAAATATCAAAGCGAGGGGACATGTCTTAGGCTCCAGGGAGGCTTTCCTTTCTCTGGCTGGTGTTTGAATTGATTTAGATTGTCTCATCATTAACAGTATCATATCCATTACCATCCTTATTTGGACTGGGATTTTGTCTGTCTGTCTTTCTCTTTCTCAGTACTTGGGGATTGAACCCAGGGGTGCTCTACCACTGAGCTACCTCTTCAGCCCTTTTAATTTTATTTTGAGAGGGGGTCTCACCAAGTTGCTGAGGCTGGCCTTGAACTTGCAATCCTCCTGCCCCAGCCTCCTGAGTTGCTGGAGATACAGGCATGTGCCACCACGCCTGGCATTCTTTTTTTTTTTTTGCTTGTCTTCCTCTTCCCCCTTCCTTCTCATGGTCCTCCCAATTCTGCCTCCCCATATTCCCAATTTTGTTAGCTTAGTATTTTTTTTTCAGGTTTTTATCCGTGTTCACATACCATAGATTAACATGTGTACTTAAGTATGTCAAAGATTGTGAAATATCTGAGATTTTTCCCTGTTACCATTTCATTAACGCTGGCAGGAAATAGGAGACTCCTGGGTCAGAGACAAAGACCAGTTTATTCCTCACAATAACAGTAATAATAACCAGGGTATAACATTTGCTCTATTCCTCGACCCCAGTCCCTGGACATGATGACCCTTACACATGCAGTTGGTTACATGAGAGCAAACTTAAGTTTAGGGAACATGATTTAATAATACACCAACTGCCCTCTGAACCTTCCTGATTTTTGCCCTTGCAGGAAAATATTCTCTTTATTACTCTGGACATTAAGCCAACTTGTCCTCTGCTTTGAAAAGAGATACCACCTATCTTCCAAGGCTGTTCACTAGACAAATATCCTTGAAAAGATAGTGCAGAACAAAGCATCCAGTGTCAGCTAGTGGTAAAAGTGCAGAAATTCCAGCAACTCCTGGGGAATATTATCCTAACAGTACACACATACACATATTCATTCATTCAACAAATATTTTTTTGAGTGTCTGATACCTGCCCAGCACTGTTGTAGGCATAAAATATCTTGCCCTCTGCAGAGCTTGAATTCTAAAAGTGGGTGGAAATAGATTTTTAAAAAATTGAAATAAAAAATAAATAAAAGTAACAGCATATTAGTAACTGGGAAGATGAAAAGTCCCATTGACAAGATGAGCAGTGGAAGATGGGACCTTATATACACCTATACATGAGATTTCTGCTCATTGCTTTAAAACAGTGGGGACCTTCAATGACCACTGATGTTGGCCGACGGCTTACTGTGTGCCAGTCATTCCTCTTCAGTTCTTTGTGTCTTGTCTCAATTACTCTTATCATGGTTTGCGGGGGACAGCATGAGAAAACTGAGAATCAGAGAGACTGAGTAACTTTTTCAAGATTACATGGCTGAGAAGAGGTGGCAGGACCAGGATTGAGTCCCAATGATCTGGAAGCTTCTAAGTCCATGCTCTTAACTAATACACCAGCTACTCTATGAATTATATGTATTTTCTATTCCTTATCATTTTCACTCTATAATACTTTACCTGGCATAGCTCTACCCATTTTTAAATGGTGAACACCATTTAAAACCCATGTCATTGATACATTACAATTTATTAATCAGTCTAGTATTGAACTCTTAATTTGTTTCTAGTTTCTTCTAAATAGTACCACAAAACAACAACAACAACAACAAAACCCTTTTTTTATACTGTTATTCACAGTGCTTTAATTCTGTGGCTTACATTTTCAGTAGGAGGATTGCTGATTCAAAATGGATGTACGTTAATTTTTGACAGATGTCTTCAGATTACTTTTTGAATACTATTGCTATTAATACTATCTGTATTTATTCCATTCTGTCACCAGTGATGAATATACACATTCCTCTTATAATCATTATGACTACTCTTTTGGATTTGCCAGTCTCTTAGATGTAAAGTGATATCTCATTATTCCTTTGGTTTCTCTGAGTATATACAAGTTTGGAAATTTAAAAATAGATTTGATAGCCATTCAGAGTAGTTCTCTGAATTGAATTTTTCAGGTCCTTTGCCCACCTTTCTATTGTGTTTTTATCCCCTTAATTGTCAATGTAGCTGAGATTTTTGTATGTCACAGATACCTTCTGTCTTCTAAAACTTTCCCCCATAAAACTGCCATTTACCTATTAATTTTACTTAGGGTATATTTGCCATATAAAAGTTTTAAGTTCCAAAGTAATAAATAAATTTATCTTTTCCTTTAGCCTCTAGTCTTTGTTCTTGGTAACAAAGACTTTCTTGATCCATTGGCTTAGACTCTTCAGAAAATCTCTTAGATGTTCTTGGAGACTTCTTAGAGTTTTCAGTCTTATTTTCACATGTGTTATAAATTTGTAACATGAACTATACCCATGCAACTGGAACCAGAACGATCTTTCCAGCAGCAGACCTGGCATATCATGCTTGTGCGTGCATGTCCTCGATGACTCCACATCACATGTGGGATAAACTCCAAGGACCAGGAGACCCTGCGGGATCTTAATTCCCTCTCTGAGTCTCCTTATATTCTGTGCTCTAGCCATCTCACATTAATTATAGTTCCCTGAATGTTCCACACTTTAATTAATGAATAGAATGTGAACGGCAACAGCTGGTCTTCTCCCACCATGGCCAGGCTGCAAGGATTTGCTGGATTTCTATTCTGAATTAATTAGGTATCCTTTTTATGAAGCTCCCTGGCAACACACACACGCACACACGCACACATTTTGAAAAGCAGGGGTTATCTTTGTGTCTGAGTTTCCATGGTGCTTTAGGATACTGGCCTAGTTTTCCTAAAATGATTCTCTGCTGACATTGAACCCTCAGACAGCAGATGCCCTGTCTTCATGGATTTTTGTAGCAGGTATTCTAAAATTTGTAGCCAGGAACTGTTATTCAGGTATGGTAAGATATGAAGACGCAGAGGAGATCTTCACAGAGGAAGAAGGCGGTACTCATAGGTCTCTAGAAACAGGGGCTTCGGCACCAATGCGGGGTCACATGTGCAAGTACCATGGTCTGTCAGGAGGCAGAAGGGGCAGGGGACAGCATGGCTCAGAGTGTTTATTAGAGTTTCCATGAGAAGAAATGGGCATGGCCTGGTGTGTCTGCTGAGTTTAGCTTAAGCCTGGAGAGTTTGCATGATTCTGGGCTGTAACAGTTGTCCCTAGTTGTCCAGTACCTGCTCCAGGTGATGCAGGATAGGGAGAGCGTTGACTTGGTGTGAGAGTTTGATAGAGGAGGTGGTTGGGTGTGGGCCCAGGACTGTTGGTTGGTGTGTGGAAGGTGTGCGGGCAGGGAAGTCATGCACCCTCTCTAGGAATGAGAGGGACAGTCCCTCCAGGATCAAAGCCCCAGCTGCCAGAGCAACAAGAACACAGAAACTGATTGTTGGCTACAACACTGCAAGGAGCGCGATTCTGGGCCACATTGCCTCAGGGAGGCTACTTAGGTGTGTGTGTCTGTCTCCCTGTGCCCAACTCTGACCTTCAGGATGTATCCTTTTCAGCAGATAATAGGATGGGGTTTTTCCCCCTGTAAAGATGATAATTACGTGTTGCGTTTCTTCTCTTTAAATAAAAGGAAATACTGCTAAGTACGATGCATTACTGCATGTAGGCGGCTCAGAGCTGATGGCCCTTGTGTCTGCAGAGGGTGAAATGATTTCCCAAGGTGGTAAATACATACAGCGTGCATTCTGGGAAGGGCCCTTATCGTTCTGCTCCACGTAAGAACAGTGTGTGCTTCCTCCTTTTCCTCAAGAGGAGAGGCATGAAGGTTTAGTTAAGTCTTTGTGTCCAGAGTTAGCCAGCGGCCACAGCAAACCCTCCTCTTCTAGAAGAGGCGAGGGAGTGGAGTTAGAGGATTTCTGAGGGAGCAGAGAACCACTCAGATTATTTCTCCTAATGGATATTAAAGGATGTTAGACCAGAAGAAAACAGGTTAATGTAGGAGAAGGCACCGGGTCCTGGGTGTTGGCAGCTCCCACCCCACACATTCCCATTGCATTTCCAGATGACAGCTTGGGTAATTCAGGACATCCTCTGGGTGGCTTGATTTTAAATGACTCACATGAGTCATCTGAAAACCTTTGGTCCCTTAGGCAGCTAATTAAGACACTCCCTGCCTCAAACTACTTTTCCATCTGTTTCATTATTTTTTTGCAGGAAAAAATAATGAAGAAATTATACTGTGTCACAGGAAGATTTTTTTTTGTGGCCCCCAATTTTCCAGTTGACATCCCCAAACAAAATTATTAATTATAAATATAGAACACATGTTATATTTTTAAAAACTATGTACTGGGAAAATTTGAGGTAACTGTTTTATATCCTTCCTCTTATGACAAATTTTTCATGAGCCTCTGCCATTCAACATTCTGTGTTTGTTTTTTAATGTCATTTCCTCTGTCACCTACCTGTCCAACACACTTTCCATAGTGTATTCATGGCTGCGTCCATCTTCCC